TTTGACTTCTGGTGGTTACTTGGACGCAAAAGAGGTCAGCAAGAATGTACTGAGAAACGTAGATCATTTGCGGAGTACCCAAGAAGAAGCAGATACCAGATTCGTTTTACATGGTATTGATATCAAACAGTCAGGTTTTGAGAGATTGATGGTTAACAGTCGCGATACTGGCGTGCTACTACTCGTTATGCATTTTTATGAACGATTTCCAAGTGCTGTCTGGATTAAATCAGGCACTAGCAAAAAAATAATGATTTACTAGCATCAGTGGATAAAAAGAAAGCATTGTTGGCTTATCACAGTTTAACTGGGTGTGACACGACTAGTGCACTGTCTGGGCACACAAAAAAATCAAGCTGGCCTATTTTTCATCAGCACTATCATCTGTTGTCCAATTTTGGTACAAGCCCACACCCTACAGAAGTTCAGCTCTCAAATGCTGAAAGATTTGTCATACTTATGTATACATATAAGAAACCAGGGCTTCAAGACTCAAACAATTTAGACGATCTGAGAGCAGCAATGTTCCAAAATATTAGAGAGCTCGACAAATTACCGCCGACACGAGAAGCGTTTCGCCAGCATGCATTAAGAGCCAATTACCAGGCGTTTTGTTGGCTGCATGCTGACGTGGCAGAGCCTATCTTGCCTGCACCCACAGAAAGCGGCTGGAAGGTTGAAGAAACGGGATACTTAGTGCCAATAGCATCACCCGTCAATTTGATTTCATTAAAAGATCTTGAATTGATATCATGTTAGTGCAAAGCTGGATGCCGTTCATCTCGTTGTGAATGCAGTGCCAAAAAACAGAAATGTTTTGAGGGTATATGTCATGTTGGATATAAATGTTTCAATCAATTTAATTATATATGTTACAGGCAAAACCCTTAACCAGTCAATAACGTTATTGACTGGAACAACCAGTCAATTACGATATTGCCTAAGGGCCTCAGTCAAAACCCTTATTGACTGGTTTTATCTATTAAAAGCAGTCAATAACGATATTGACTGACGTGCTCAGTCAAAACCCTTAATAGGTACTTCTGCCCCGGTAGCAGCAACCTAGACTGGCTGGCTGACTGTCTAGATCGCCGGTTGTTATTCCTGAGGACATGCCCAAGTCGCAGACGGCTCTTCACTATCTAATGCTGACATTAGCGTATACGTGGCTTCACCTCCTAGATGTCATAGACTTCACGACGGTGGTTGTTAGGCTCCCGCCTAGTTCAATCGGCGAGCGAGGCTGTAGGCTTTCTTCTAGCTGCGACCATCTAACGGTCCTGTTGGTGATCTCAGACCAGCCAGGCAGTCTAGGTTGCTACCACCGGGTCGGACGTACCTATTAAGGGTTTTGAAAAAATATGTTACGGTCCTGATGGTTACTATGCAGTAACCATTGCGTTGCGGTGAGTTTATGTGCGATGCGGCGGGTAGCACTGCGTTGCGGTGAGTTTATGTGCAGTGCGGTGGAAATCAGTGCGGTGTGGAGACTTTCGGTGCGCGATGCGGCGGGTATCACTGGGTTGAGGTGTGTTTATGTGCAATGCGGCGGAAAGCAGTTCGGTGCGGAGAGTTTTGGTGTGCGATGCGGCGGGTAGCACTGAATTGCGGTGAGTTTATGTGCTTTGCGGCGGAAAGCAGTGCGGTGCGGGAAGTTTTGTTGTGTGTTGCGGCGGGTAGCGCTGAATTGCGGTGAGTTTATGTGCTTTGCGGCGGAAAACAGTGCGGTGCGGGAAGTTTTGTTGTGTGTTGCGGCGGGTAGCGCTGAATTGCGGTGAGTTTATGTGCTTTGCGGCGGAAAACAGTGCGGTGCGAGAAGTTTTGTTGTGTGTTGCGGCGGGTAGCGCTGAATTGCGGTGAGTTTATGTGCTTTGCGGCGTAAAGCAGTGCGGTGTGGGAAGTTTCATTGTGTGATGCGGTGGGTAGCGCTGAATTGCGGTGAGTTTATGTGCTTTGCGGCGGAAAACAGTGCGGTGCGAGAAGTTTTGTTGTGTGTTGCGGCGGGTAGCGCTGAATTGCGGTGAGGTTATGTGCTTTGCGGCGTAAAGCAGTGCGGTGTGGGAAGTTTTGTTGTGTGATGCGGTGGGTAACGCTGAATTGCGGTGAGTTTATGTGCTTTGCGGCGGAAAACAGTGCGGTACGGAGAGTATCGGTGTGCGATGCGGCGAGTAGCACTGATTTGCGGTGAGATTATGAGCGATGCGGCGGGTAGCAGTGCGATGCGGCGAGTAGCACTGACTTGCGGTGAGATTACGAGCAATGCGGCGGGTAGCAGTGCAGTGCGGTTAGTTTAGATGCGATGCGGCGGGTAGCAGTACGGTGCGGTGAGCTACGGTGCGATGCGGCGGGTAGGAGTGGTTACTGCATAGTAACCGTCAGGATCAATATATATATTTTTTAAATAAGATAGGCTCGCATTTGTCTGCTATCTCACCAGCTGATAAAATGAGTAATCCTAGTCAGCGACGCGATCGCCGGAGGTGGAATGGGGATAATCAGGTCGTGGGGCGATTGTGCACGCTCACTGAAATGCATCTTATAGAAGATAGAAGATGGAGGCAGTCAGAGTGAAAGTCTTTCGCTCGCCGGTGGCACTGAGCCCGAGTCCTCGAGTAACCACCGGGTGGTCTATGACTTCTGGGAGGGGAGGCCACGTATCTGCTGAGGTCAACATAAGTGAAGAGCCGTCTACGACTTGGGCATGTCCTTATGGAATAATAACCGGCGAGCGAGACAGTAGACTTCCACTCTGGCAGCGACCATCTAACGGTCCTGATGGTGATCTTAGACCAACCAGGACATACCTATTAAGGGTTTTGACTAGGCACGTCAGTCAATAACGTTATTGACTGATTTTATTAGACAAAATCAGTCAATAAGGGTTTTGACTGAGTACCTTAGGCAATAACGTTATTGACTGGTTGTGCCAGTCATTAACGTTATTGACTGGTTAAGGGTTTTGACTGTAACATATAGACGAAATTAACCTGAGTGATGTCGATGATTAAGTAGTTTGTTTTGTCTGTTAAGTAAAGAAATGTATAAGTAAAGAAATGTAAAATTTATTAAAACGGTATTTGTTTTTTTAATTGACTCGTTTTATTTCCATTGTGGTGACATGGCATCATAAAGGTTTACTACCCTGCAACCAGCAAATATAAGTAACTTAACACCCTGTACTGCACTTGCCAACCCGCCTGTCATTATCAGGTGAGATTATCAAGTACCCCCAAGTGGCAAAACCCGTGTCCAGTAATATTTTTTCAATGTTTTTGCTTCGTACACCCGGCTGCTGAGATAAGCCAATATTCAATTATTATTTTTTTACAATCGACTCGGGCCGCTTAAATGGCTGTATCTTCGTTGTTTCTTGTCTGATCTAAAAAAATATGGGTTCATTAGAAAGCTAATAAAAAACGCAAAACATTTTGTCTTTGTCAAAATTTTGATAACTCTGACGGTTGTAGAGTAATTAGCCAAAGAAAAAAAGAAATTTTTTTGAAATCTTGCATTTTATTAAATATTTTTTTTTCTGTTAGCGTTACCTGCACAAATGTATGGAATCAAATATAGGAAATTGTATTCTCTCTCATTTAACACCTTACCTTTGTAAATCGGTCCAGTAGTTGTCTAGATATACCGCTTTAAAGAATTGGTCGGGCGGCCATCTTTGTTACGTCATAACTCCCCCCACTTCCACTTACGAGGTGACTACCGCACTTTCCGTACTCAGGAAAACATGCTGAACAAGTAAATACCAGTTGTCGGTAGGAACTAGCACACTTCCGCAAAAGTTGTTATTTGACGAGATAGCAAAGATTGGCCCCCGAGCTATTACAAGCTAATACGTCTATTTTAGCCCCAATTGCACTTGCACTTGCAAAATTTGGTAAAATAAAAACAAAATGACACTGCTAATAATAACACTACAAGTTACACTAGTTGTAGGGCTCATTTCATTTACTTACAAAGTATAATGATTAAAAGATAATCTCGTAGCAAACCAAACACATGCTAACTGTTTTACGTTCTACATGTATTCTGTGGTTCTACATGACAGCCAGGGGCTTACAGGCTATTACGTCTATTTTAGCCCCAATTTCACATAAAACGAATACCTATATAACGCCTTACTTGTCTAACAAAATTTGGTAGAGTTGAAGCAAAATAACACTACAATTTACCTGTTAGGTTCATTTCATTTACTAAGTATAATGATCAAAAGATAATCTCGTAGCAAACCAAACACACGCTAACTGCTTTACGTTCTACATGACAGCCAGGGGCTTACAGGCTATTACGTCTATTTTAGCCTCAATTGCACATAAAACGAATTTATAGCGTCTTACTTACGCACGTCCACGGTGACCTGCCTTTACGAGCCGCATATGAAGGCGCTTACGTCAATTTACTTTGATGACAGTTTATTTTGGAAAAACAGTATCCAATTTTATTGATGTAAGTAGTCGGTACGGCTTCTACGCGTAAAACTTTCACTCAATAATTGTAATCTAACATGCCTACTTAATTTATTAAACTTTGATGTCAACTCTTATCTACAGTTAGAAACTAGGTAATTAATAAGAAATTTTAACGTTTGTTCACTAAAAAGAGTTCGTCGCTACATAATTTTAATTGACTTTCTTGCCTTAACAAATCGTGTAATAGGTACATACTCAAAATGCACATTGACTTTATATTTTGTCAAAATTACTTACGCCCTTCTACGGCGTAGCGATCGTAGCAATTCAAATACAAAGAAACAATGACAGGGATAACATGTAGGTAGGCATAATACAATTTCTAATTTAGTGAAATAACTAATCTACTTATTTGTTGTTTCAGGCCGATGAGCTGCCCCCAGAACAGATGGCCGGTATGCATACTATTATATTAATTCAAAATAAGTGAGATCGTGAAACTGCAGTGAATGTAAAAAACTGAACAGAATAGTCTCTTTTTTGTTACAAAGTTAATACAAACGAAGCATGTGAAAAAAAAAACACTGATGGGATTCGAACCCACGTCTTCTGACAAGCCGGGTCAGAAGTGTTTACCGCTACACAACGTGGCTCTAACCCAGTTAGATTTAGGTTAGTTAGTTCTCAAATCACAATTTATTAAATGAGACCCTTTATAAAATAATGCGTAAACTAGATTTGTTCCATTTCCACTCATGCATGCTCCTCAATGAGCTCAGCGGAGCGGATTAGGGATTTTCCCCATTAGACAAATTGGCACAAGTCGTCCGTATCAACTAATGTACTGCATGTACAGTGAACTACACTATTCTGTATTAATATTTTGTTGGAAACTTTACTTACTTACTTACTCTTTTTTATTTTTTCTTACAAAAGACTGCTAGTTTTAATTGTGCTCAAATCACACGCTCTATTAACTAACTTATCCATTCGCATGAACCCCAATAAATTTACAAATACACTTGACAAAAAATAAAAGAAAGTAATAGAAATTGAAATACGTGTGGTTAGAGCAGACGTTGCGAACCTATGATTTTTCAGACACTGAGCTCCTGTAAGGCAAGGACATAATGCCGTGGGGAATACGTCTTTCAATGTGGCTGACGTGCGTAAGCGCATTTACTAGGATTTGGCTACGATCCAAACTAGCAACTAGGCCTCACGTTACCGCTATAAAACACCAATGTTATGACACTCCACAAATTAGTGAATGGATTAATTTTTGAAACATTGAAATACTAAATAATTTTAAAAGTTTATTGCTGAACATTTTGAAAATGTAAACATAGTTGCAGTGAGAAGATAAAATAATTATTAAAATTTCTGACAACACCTTACAGGTTTTTTACATAACTTAGACAGACACTTTAAATACTTAGAGAAAAAATAAATAAAGCTCGCTTTTGGCTGCTGGCCAGTAGATACAATAGAAGCTTACTTCAGAAATACAGATGCTAAGTCCACTGAAATCAATTAATATCATTATTATTCGGAAAAAAAACAGATACAGATTATACATATTTCAATAGATACAGAGATGATTTGATTCTTCTAAATAAGGACTTTTTTCGAGAGAGTAACTACCTTTTTTTAACTTCTTTTGATGAATATTGCATTTAACTAAAACTAGAATAAAAGCAGCATGAAATTAATTAAAGAAACTAGGTATTACGATGGGGGAAAGAACTTTTCAACAAACACAGATGTCTCAACTCTACATTTTAACAGCAAGAAAAAATTGAGTGCTAAAGAAAATAAAATAAAAGGTGGCACTAAACGGTCGATCGCCGAGACAATGGCCCGTTGACAAGTTGACAGTTTGAGTGACAGCCGGTGACAGGTAGCTTAGCGTACAATTCTGGCGTAGTGATAGGAACATTTTGTTCGTTGTAATATGTATCCGCCATTGGAATTATCCTATGTTCAGGCCAAATTATAAAAAATACTTAGGTATAGTTATATTGAACGGGTTTCATTCAGGAGGGACTTCATGACTAAAACTAAATTGTTTTAGGTATAGTTTCGATTCTTTATTTATTGATTAGCGTAAAATTAAAAAAAAAATGTTTATTTTAATGGAAAGACAGTTTTAAAAATCACAGAGTTCATAACGATACTCATTTTAACTCTACTTACCAGCGAAAGACGTAACCAGAAAATAATATTTTTTATAAAAATTATGTCTAAATACGTAGGATACATTATTTACTAGCTGTCCCATTTGGTAGGAACATACTTTTAGCTGATGAAACAAGTAAAATAAAAGTTTGTGGTAAATAAAGTTCGTCATTTTTATGATTCCTTCTCCTCCGACATTGCGTGAAAAATAAACTACCACTGAAATGCATGTCGCCTGTAAAGTTTTAATGATCACGCTCCGTTGCTCGCAAACTGCGTGAAGCTCCAGTGGAACTAATTTTATGGGATGAAGCGATAACCCCGTAACCCCATTGCGAGGAATGTTTCCGGGAGTTACAGCATCGCATTGTAAGTCCGGATTTGTATACAGGGTGTGAGGAAAATATTGCTTGCTAAATATTTAGTAATATTCATTTAAATCAGCATTTTTTAAAAATAAAATCCAGTGGAACTAATTTTATGGGATGAAGCGATAACCCCGTAACCCCGTTGCGAGGAACGTTTCCGGGAGTTACAGCATCGCATTGTAACTCCGGATTTGTATACAGGGTGTGAGTGAAATATTGCTAATTTAATTGAAATATTTATTTACTGCGTGAAGCTCCAGTGGAACTAATTTTATGGGATGAAGCGATAACCTCGTAACCCCATTTTCCGTTGCGAGATGTTTCCGGGAGTTACAGCATCGCATTGTAACTACGGATTTGTATACTGGGTGTTAGGAAAATATTGCCAGCTAAATATTTAGTAATATTTGTTTGAATCAGCATTTTTAAAAAAATTTAAATGTACGTCTTTGTGTTTGTGTTCCCTATCAATCTGCCAACGCTTTACATAAATTACAAACGATTTGTGTACCTTCTTCTAAATAAATTGTACTTTCATGTACAAATACGTCATGTCAGTAAATTGCAAGGATTTCAAGCGAACTGGAAAATCTGTAACGGCCGCAATTTGATGCGGTGAGTGACATGTAACATGACATGATTCCGGTACCTATCTGTTTGAGAATACGTAAATTCTTTTGTCAAAGAACCGGAACCGGTAAATCATGGGCGGCTGGGCGGGTTTGAGGCGAGTACTTAAATGAATCGCACCAGCTTATATTTATACTCTGTAAGAATATTAGTAAGGCAAAGTCTGGTACCGTTGGTTAGCTAGGCGGGCGGGTGTGGCTGGCTGGCGGCGACTGCGAGTAGCAACAGCGCTCTTGGCACACCGCCAGCATATCGTGGCACGAGAGCGCGTCATTGTTTAGTAAATCTCCACTCTCCAGCGGATTTCTCAACAGCGGATTACTGCATACAAAACTCGCAACTCTCCACTTTTGTACCTGATTAACCAGCATATCGTGGCACGAGAGCGCGTCATTGTTTAGTAAATCTCCACTCTCCAGCGGATTTCTCAACAGCGGATTAATGCACACAAAACTCGCAACTCTCGACTGTTGAACTTGTTTTAAAAACACCTAAATATCTTTGAGTATATATAGGTAAGCAAGCTATAGAGTGCGCCAAAAAGTTAGAAAGGTTTGCAGTAGTCTGCACAAAAACTATCTTCAGTATCAAAAAGTTAGTGAAAGTACTATTGAACCTCTATAAATTCTCATAGACATTTGACGTCTGTATCTAGGGAGCAACTGCTTACACTTTGACAGTCCGGCGGGCTTATTAATTATATTTTAATACAGGGAGTAACGGAAAGGGTATAACAAGCCGAAAGGAGGTCAAGATACTCATGAAACTGAACAACTTTCTCCATGGAACATGGGTCAAAATATGAAAAAAAATATTGGGCCTCCCATACAAAATCGACGATTAAGATAGGCTTAAAAACCAAGCGACGCGACAACGACGCGCGTCGTTGTCGCCGTCAAATTTTGACGGCGTCGTTGTCGCTGCGGTCTTGTAGAAAAACCCGACCGCATCCCATACAAACTTTAAGCTTCTCAGCGCGCTGTCAACGTGACGGCGTCGTGGCGCGCCGCAACGACGCCGTCGCTCGGTTTTTCTGGTTCCCCATACAAACCCATACAAACCAGTCATTTGACAGCGGCAACGACGCGCGTCGTTGTCGCTGTCGCTTGGTTTTTAAGCCCACCTTTAGCTTGATTTACTATGGGACCTCCTTTCTGCTCGTTATACACTTTCCGTTACTTCCGGTATATTACTCTAAGCTAAATATGGACACAACACTAGAAGAAAAACCACATCTTAAAATGGCAAAATATTTGAATATAATATGACTATGTATAGAAGGTCAGGTGACATGTTCCATGGGAAAAGTTGTTCAGTTTTATGAGTACATTGACTACCTTTCAGCTTTATTGGTTGTTTTGTGACACCCAGTATACAGAATCAATAAGAATACCTAGCCACTATACAGGCTGATCCTTGGAATGAGTAACTCAAGCTGGTACTGATTACATACAACATTAGGTACATCACTCATGGGCCAAGTACTCGAAGATTTATATGTTAGAATTAGTTTAAATCACGTTATATCTCCAGCTTGCATGTACACTGCCAAGTGGGGAATATGAATATCATACAAAACAGATATCGGAGAAATATGTGCCAACTCTTGGATGTCATATACGAACATAAAAGTAATATATGGATGCATAGTTTGATCTACAGCCTTTGTTGCACTTTAAAGTGTTTCTAGAATGGATTTTGTATGAATATGGCTGTAGTGTTCCCGTTTTCAATTTTTTTTAAAGTACTTGTCTCTCAGCGTAACTTATGAATAACTCAAAATTTATGGTAGTGATTTTTTTGAAAGTGTCACGTATTTTAAGTACAGCATCAATTTTCACTTTTATAGATTTCAGAACATTTACTAAATCGTACAACATTACAAAATTGTACTATAACATTTGTTATTTACCAACGTCGTTTGCTTATTTTATTCCAAACCAGTTTTTGTCATATCAACCTACTTTACACTAAGAAAACCATTTTGGGAACTTTTAAGACTCTACTTTTACATAGGTAGAACACTTTTATCAAACTGAAGTTTTCTTGCTATTTGTCACACTGCCACCTACATATCCTTGGGTTAGTTTAATAAAATTTCGGACACCTACCTACAGCAAAATATCTTGCAATACACCAGCTCTACTGGAGTATTTGCCAAGTGGTCAAAATTTATGAGTTTCCAGTGTCCAGACGCTGTAAATGCAGTGGCCAACAGATGAAATTGCTGCACAATGCACAGACGCATAAAACACAAGTGTATGATTCATCGCCGCTCCAGAAAACATCTTTAATCTCGAAGATCCGCAAATAGAATATGTAAACAGCAATCTTTATAAAATACACCCCGTTCTTCAAACATACGTTTATGATTTTAAATGTAGTTTAGAATTTTCGAGTAAGTATCGAATCTACAAAGTGTCGACGTTTGAAAAGTTTTTAATTTGATGTGAGCGCTCAGATTTTTTCCTAAGATT